CGGACGCCGCACCACGGCATAAGCTCACTTGGCACTTCGTGCCAGGTGAGCTAAAAATATAAGATGCACAACTATATATGAAAGGAAACTACATATAAAATTTGTAAAGCATTTTTTGAGAAATAGTGATAACAAATTTGAGCTCTCAAAATCCAAGATGGTCACCTGGCAGCCATTATGTTTTCGCGATCAATCCCATTATGAAACATGTAAAACTCGGGACCATGGGAAACCTTCGTAAGAAATTTGAGTTCAACGATGATTACTTCAATGCTTCTTGAGTAATGGAGACAACAAGAAATGTCTAAGGACTGACCATTAACGATTTGTAAAGCCCACAATACGAAAAAGATCGACAGATGGACGACAGATACTGCACTTTACCACAAATTCAAAGGTATTTTGTGCTGACTGAATCTATGACTTCTTCAATGAAATTACCAGAACAAAAAAAAAGAAAATGTTGACATGGATTTTTAATATGGATGCATGAATATTTATACAAACACTAAACACAATTTTATAAGAGAATAACTGGGCAGAATGTTTTCATACATTATACATCAAACGAGAAAATCTTTCTAGCACAACAACGATCAACCAGGAAGATTGGAGAATAGGTTAACTTCATATTTAGTAAACTGTTTCAAATCAAGCCGTGTCACTCATAAGCAATTATTTTTCCACAAGTATAATTTGCTGTGAACATGCCATACCTTAAAATGTCTCTAAAATCAAACTGTAAAAGATACTTTGTGTATAGTGAATACATATGGCACCTTTACATATTATTTTTACAGTTTCATCAACAGCTCTGTGCAATATCACAACATTGTAAATGCTGGTAAGTAATTTTTTGATTGTACTTACTGTAATATATGTCCCAAGATTATATCTTAAATAGGTCTCAAAGAGTGTCCGTCAACAAAAGAGGAGGAGAGAGAATGATGGGGAAACAAAAAAACATAAGCAGTTCTAGTATAAACGTCATTTCCTTCTTTGAATGTTACTGATCACAGAGTTTTCAATCTGGATTTTTAACGCCAATTTAACCGTTCTTTCTACTTGAAGAAAGGTGTATAGATTGCAAATTGTGATTTCGTGATCTTTAGCACTATCAATCTTCTGTGTCCATATCTTTTTCTGGCATAGACTTATCAACACCTGTGTACTTGTAAAGTAGATTGGAAAAGAAATAAGCCAAGTACACAAAAAATCTAGTACTGTATGTAATACAATTGTCTGAATTGAGTAAAATAATTATTCAAACTATCTACTTGCACATATTTTTGCTAAATGTCTGCTGCTAATATAATGAAAGTTTCAAACTTTAGTTATTTATTTCTACAAGCTAAAATTAAAATAAGAAAACAAACAACCATATTTCAAGTACAAAAAAAACCCCATGTTACAATTCAAATAAATTAAAACTTTATACAGAATCACAGTATCGAAAGGGATTTTATACTCAATTTTAATCATTTCAATTAGGCGTCCTTGTAAACAGACACACTCCACACTGACTGCCTAAAGTTTGCTTAACGAAACGTTTCAAAATGCAATAAGCTTCCATCAAATATTTAATTTACTTCACATATTTGCCTTTTTGAGTCGGATAACATCACTTTTGCACATTAAATAAGATGGGATTTGACGAGTTCAGAAACACATGTGTAGCCTTAACAATTGCAACGTACAGATTCTGGCCTGTTTTGTAATAAGCTTTCCATTTAATGTTTAGTAGTCATTCTTGAGGAACCGTCCTCCTAGTTAAGGTAATTGTAGCCACACAAACGAGGAATAAACATCATTTTGGGTAACCACAATATCTTATCACCTACTCAACTTCAGCTTCTGTTCCTCCTCTCAGGTGGACCGGGGAAGGCAACCTGAGATAGGCTTTGGATGATAATTCTGTGAATAAGATATATCATTTATGTTCAAGAGGTGAAAGCCTACAGTCTATATAATATCTTAGTCGCTTTTTTAATACACAAGGAGACGGGACAGAATCTCACTTTCCACACCTTTTATTTTTCCTCGCACCATTCATTTTCCTTTCGTACCTGTAATGACAAAAAAATAGTTTAAACAATTAAAGTAAAAGTGGAACAGCTGCAATATGCAATAGCATTAATAATGAATTAAATTCATTCTGTAAGTGATGTTCTTTTTAAAACCTGTTATCACACTCAATCAAAGCAGTAGTCTGATTGACCAAATTAATCAATGACTAGGTGTATTGCTTCAGACTATGACTAATCGGTCTTAATTTTCTATGATCAATTATGGTTTAACGATGTAAAAACTTTCAAAAGTTACTGAAATATTGAGCAGACTTGGAAATAGATAAAGGTAAACAATGTTGCTTATATTTTACACCATGAACTGCATATAACAAATGCTTATAGCTAGGGTATCAATAAAATCATCACTGCATTCATCCATTTTGGTAAATGTTTCCCTATTTATTTTTCAGTTATGACTAATCAATGGTTGGCTGATTTTGATATCGATCACTTGAGAATGGTGATGATCAATCATGGATTTTGAAGTAATTCCCAACATTACTTATAGCATTAAATCTAACCCAAAACATAGATTGGTCTCCGAATTTCAAATCTATGAACTTGTACATGAAAGGAATCTCACCTGTTCTTCCTCTGCTGGTGTAAAATCGTTCTTGATATTAAAAGTTTTTCTGATTTCCTCAGGTGATTTGCCTTTGATCATGTTGGCCACAGTCTTGCATGTTACATCCAATAAACCCTTGATATCTAGGTAGTTGGCTGCCTGCATCACAAATAAATAAAATTCAGGTCAAACTTTTGGCAAGATTTTTAAAATTCTATGAACACAGTACATAACCAGTATGTACTAAAAACTAAATTTTACCTGACGCATAGACTTCACAGATACACCCCTGCTCCCAACATGTCTACAAAGTTTGAAGCCCATTACTGAATAGTAGCTGAGATATACTCTAGAAACCATTATCATTTCGGTCCTTGAGGTCAAGGTGAAGGTCAAACTCAAGTCAGAGTGATCTCGTTTCAAGATTCCAAGCCACCATCTATAATGTAGCTATATACAGTGTTATGCCCATTTGTAAAACAGCGCTGAGATTTGCTCTAGAAACCAATATTTCAGTACTTGAGGTCAAGGTGAAAGGTCAAATTGAGGTCACAGTGACCTCTTTTTAGAATGTGACACACCACCTTTCCATGATGCACCTTTATACAAAGTTTGATGCATATTCAGGAGACAGTAGATGAGGTCAAAGTCATAAGTCATTAAGTGATATGAACATTTAAAACTAATAATGAAATATGTGTGAACAAACCTTACTTTATGACAATACATGTATTTGTTTTTATAATAATTTCCAGAAAAAATACCGTTTCATATCCTTTCTATTCTAATTATAAGAGATGAATGTACTTTCGGTTTTGTGTGTTAACATCCTGGTGTGTGTGTTGATGGTGGTTTGCTAAATGTATTGATCTGATTAGGTATGCATTACTTTTTCTTCCTTTTATGTCATTTTTCTATTTTCCTCCTACTCTTTATCCTGTTCTCTGTTCTCTTTCTTTCTTCTTTGTTGGGTGCGGAGGGAGGGCAATTGGTTTCAAGACATTTGTTTATTACTGCTATATGGAAGGAATTAGGCGAAGGCGAATTGTCAGGGTTTAGTTAGGGGATAGGAACAAAAGGAAAGATGTATTTAAGTACCTGAGGGAAAAAGATTTTAACATTTACTGTCTACAAAACACACACTTCACTCCAGATATTAAAGATATGGTAAGAACAGAATGGGGATTAGAGTGCTACTTCAACTCACTGCGATCGAATTCAAAGCATGTTTTAATAGTATTTAACAATAATTTTGAAGTGAAAGTAACCAAGGAAAAGAAAGACTTGACGGGATTTTTTTTAGCTTTGCAAGTAGAAATAGAAGGTAAGTGCATAATAACACTGATAACAGTCTATGGACCAAACTCTGACGCACCTACTGTCTATGACAATATAATAGAAACTATTAGTGATTTTATTAATGAATATTTTATAAAATGTTGAGATTTTAATTTAGTGCTTAATCCTGAAAAAGACTATGATAAAAGTTATAAACATATTCACAACCCAAAAGCTAGAGACAAACTAAATGAAATAGTTGCAGATTTTGGAATGGTAGATATTTATAGAGAACATCCTGAGCAAAAAAGATATACTTGGAGAAGATGTAATCCTACCAAACAGGCACGTTTAGACTTTTTTCTCATATCAGAAAATTTATTATCAAGTGTACATAATTCTACTATCGATCCAGGATATAGGTCTGATCATTCAATGCCAATAATCTCTTTAATTTTTAATGAATTCAAAAAAGGTAAAGAGCTATGGAAATGTATTACCTCTCTTTCACATGAAATAGATTATCTTGAAATTGTCGAGAAAACCATCATAGATGTCAAAATACAATATGCACTTTACAACCTAAATAATATAAATCTAATTCATGATTCAGAAATTATGTTTCAAATAAATGACCAGTTGTTTTTAGAAACTCTCCTAATGGAAATTAGAGGTAAGACTATTTCATACTCTTCCTAGAAAAAAAGCAACAAAATTTAACAGNGTATCACAGTATGCTGATGATACCTTGTTGATTTTAGATGGTACAATCATTTCCTTAAAAGAAGCAGTTGGTGAATTAAATAATTTTGCAATAATTTCTGGGTTGAAAATAAATAAATCAAAATCTCAGGTAATATGGATAGGAAGTAAAAAGCATAGTGAGGAAGTCCTTTATCCAGAATGGAAATTACAGTGGGGAAATAAAGCTTTTAATCTTTTGGACATAGAATTTCATGTAGACTTGCATAAAATTACTAGGCTAAATTATGATAAAAAGTTAGTAAAAATAAAGGCACTTATAAATACATGGAATAGGAAAATAATAACACCAATTGGTAGAATATATATCATCAAATCACTACTCATCTCACAACTCAATCACTTTTTCATTGCATTATCAAACCCAAATGAATGTTTTATTAAAAAATTAAACACGTAACTATTTATCTTCTTATGGAAAAGCAAAGTTGACAAAACCAAAAGAGACATTGTTATTAGAGACTATGTTGATGGTGGATTGAAAATGATGGATGTGATGTCTTTTATAGTCCTCAAAACTAACATGGATAGGGAGACTATTTACAACATCAAGTAATGGGCAGGAGATTTTAAAACTTATATTGATTTTAATATTTTAGCAAATGATGAGCATTTTTTTTTTTGGAAAGACATGTTTAATGCATGGAAAAGGTTAGTAATAGTACGAGATAATCAATGCAAGGGAGATAACTCTTTTTCCAAAATGCCTATCTGGTATAATAAATTGTTTAAAATAAATAATAAGAGTATTTTATATAGAAAGTGGTTCAGTAAAGGTGCAGATATAGTGAATGACCTACTTAAGGATAATAATTCAAAATTGTTTTATACTTTACAAGAAGTTAGACAAAATTTTAAAATTGAAACAAATTTTCTTGACATCTCTCTCAACAACATGAAATAAAATGTATAAGCTATCCTTATATACCTAGTAATATACAAATATTTCTAAGAAATAGGAAAGGTACAAAAGACTTTTGTAGTTGGCTTTGTAAAAATGATACACTGTCAACTGGTAGAAAGAAATGGAGTAATTATTTTGATTATAATGATAATACATGGAGAAATATCTACAAAATACCATTTCAAGTAACCAAAAACACAAAACTGCAATGGTTTCAGTAAAGAGTTAATCAACACATCTTTACCACAAACTCATATCTGTACAGGGCTGGAATAGTAGATAATCCTCATTGTTATTTTTGTAAATCAGACATTGAAACAATAGAGACAGCACTATGGGAGTGCAATCAAGTTCAGAATTTATTAACAAACTTTGAGTTTTTATTAGATGTTTTGTTTATTCCTTTTGCTTTTAAAAAGGAAACATTTATCTTCGGTATATGTGATCAAACCAGAACTTGATACATGGTAGATAACCAAATTATTCTTATTATAAACTAGAACGCTGACAGGTAAGTAAGGGCCCCGTCTTGTGGCAATTTATCCCCCATAATCATCAAGAAGCAATCTGCCCATATAGCTGAGCTTGACGTTTGACATTTGGACTTCAAAAAGAATTGCAAGGAAGCAAAATATACATTTTACATGTACTATGATGCGAGTCTTGTTTCCTTTCACCTCCATATTTGCTGGGCTAACAGAAATGTAAATACCAGTGCAATACTCATTTGTTAGCTTTGGTTGTTTTATTTCACCTTATATACCTCCTACATCAAGAGCCAGGGTCAAGGTCAGAGATCCACTTTGTCTTTGACCTTTGGACCCAAATGACCTTGACCATGAACCTTGTGACCCTGAACTTTGGTCAGTTGACTTATTCTTTAATTCCGACCAACTTTGCTTCTTGATATCATAACAAAATGTTCATCAGTGAAAAATACAAAACTTGACCTTGACCCTTTGGACCCTGTAACCTGGACCTAAGGTCAGTTGACTCTGTGTTAAGTTCTGAACAACATTGCTTCATAATGTCATAACATAATGTTCATCAGGTAAAAAGGTACAACATTTAACCTTGACCTTCGACCCAATGACCTTGACCTTTAGTCAGTTGACTCCTTGTTTAATTCTGATCAACTTTGCTTCATCATGTCAAAACAAAATGTTTATCAGTGAAAAGATGCAAATTTGACCTTGTCCTTCGAATCTAATGACCTTGACCTTTGACCTCAGTGTGTCTCTTTGTTTGATTACGAACAACTTCGCTTCATAATGTCATAGCGAAATGTTCACCACTGAAAAGCTACACACTTTGACCTTGACCCCTGACCCGATGACCTTGACATTTGGTCAGTTGACTCCTTGTTTAATTCTGATCAACTTTGCTTCATAATGTCATTACAAAATGTTTATCAGGGAAAAGATGCAAATTTGACCTTGTCCTTCGAATCTAATGACCTTGACCTTTGACCTCAGTGTGTCTCTTTGTTTGATTACGAACAACTTCGCTTCATAATGTCATAGCGAAATGTTCACCAGTGAAAAGCTACAAAATTTGAACTTGAACCCTGACCCGATGACCTTGACCTTTGGTCAGTTGACTCCTTGTTTAATTCTGATCAACTATGCTTCATGATGGCATAACAAAATGTACATCAGTGAAAAGATGTAAAATTTGACCTTGACCTTTGAACCTTATGACCTTTGACCTTGACTTTTTACCTCAATGTGTATTTTTGTGAACTGAACATCTTGACCAAGTTTCATGTACATCGGTCAATAAATACCAGTTATCAGCCAGGAACAGAATTAGTGGACGGACGGACAGACAGAGTGATTACTATATAGGGCACCCGTATCTCCGATACGGGGCCCTAAATATATGTTTATAAAGCAAGATGCCTAGAAAAAGCTCTATCAGTAAATGGCCTTATAAACTGTATAAAAGAGACTTATGAGATACAGAAATATTTTGTGAATGGGAAAGATGAAAAACATAGACATACCTTCCAAAAAGACTGGGAAAAGTGGCAAAACTTTTTTGATATCCCATAAAACCCTCAATTTCATGATTTATATGTAGAAAACCAATTACGTGGTAACAGTAATAGATAGGAATACTTTTAAGTATATTGAGCTGATATAATACAACTGTTACTGTACGATCAACAGGTTAATGTGATAAATTGTTCTTCTGTAACCGATCTCCATCCTCTCAACCCCCCCTCTCTTTCTCTCTATCTGTCTCTCTCAATCTTGTTTTCTTTTCTTTTCATATTTCTTAATTCAAATGACTTATCATTTGTGTATTGTGTGTGTGTGTGTATGGGGGAGTGTAAGTGTGAGCGAATGCCTGAGTATATTTTTTTATTGGTAATTTGGGACATGGACATGGAATAAACTCACTTTGAAGCTGTGTATGTACATGTGAATTGATGTATACAACAACTAAGTGATGGATTTTAAATTTGTAAAATGTTTGTAAATCAGGAATGATGATGAAGATACATATAGAATGATGAGTGAAGATTATAATTGAAGATGATGATTGTATGATGATGGTGATGATTGTATGATGATGATATGATGATGATGATAATTATATGTTGATGATGATACATATGAAATGATGATTGAAGATTTTGGATGATGATGGATTATGGCAATGATGATTGATGATTAAATAATTATATATGAAAGAGGATGATGAAGATGATAAAGATGAATGATGATATGTTGATGATGATATTATGATGACAATGAAATTGATTGTGATAATGCTAAATCCATGTCCGTGTGTGTATATGTGAGAATGTATGAATGTCCTGTTTATGAATATGTATATGCAATGAAAAACTTGGAAAAATAAAACCATTACAAAAAATAAAAAATAAATAAAAAGTCAAAAGTCAACTTGATGTCAGTGACCTGAAACATCATATGGCCTACTCAAACAATGTCAAAAGCCATGCATCCTCTAACTTCCCATAACTGTGTTTTCCGATGCAGACAATCATATTATTTAAGTCAGAAGAATTTGTGTCAAAGACTCAAATAATGAGTTTTCATCTTTCTAAGAATGATTTTTTATGACAAAAAATCGTAACAAAATTCTGTTTGAAACCCTGGTTCAAATTTTTATCAATCCAGCAGCCATATTGTGAAAGCATTATCAACAAAGTGCTAGACTGACAAAGAAATGTATTTTGTGTGCTATATCTTTGTGTCAGTAGGATATATGGTACCTTTATTACATGAACTGTGATTACACATTGTTGTCACGAAAGTTTTGAACCACTTGAGTGAGATTTTGATGCCTAATTTTTGTTCCGCCTGGATTGAGGGCAGAAAATGCATCAAAGAAATAGTTCTTCTGAAATGAGATCATATTCGATGAAAAATAAGCGAACAGCAACCTTTTTTTTCAAGGAATATGTATTACCAAGATTAACTGAACTTCAAACATCAATAGCATATATATATTTTGGACCTTGAAATAACACTTGTTTCAGGCTGTCACAATACTTATATCAATACTAACCAGAATTAATTCAAACAGTGTTCCCTGATCAACTTTGAGGAACTCTGCATCCCAAGAACAGATATCATCAGTGCGCTTTTCTTTGTTTTCGTCATCTTCTGGCGGTGGTGGGTCGTCCTTGTGGTATGTACACCACTGTACCACTTTCTTCAAGATTGCTGCATTTACATTGGGAAGAGGGACAGGCTCCTCATCATCCTCATCAACACCCAAGTCTGTAGCATATAATTACCATGTATCATTATTCATAGAGCCTTATATCTTTGATTTTTATGGGAAAAGCTACAGAAAGAATTGGCACAAGTTTTGATTATTTTCATTAATGATTTACTCAATGATGTTGAAAAACAAGAAGGAAACACTAATGAATTTAAACAAGAGTACCGCAGGGCGGAACAAAATACACCTGTTGAATGCCATATAGTGTTATATACTATCTTGCATTAAAATAAGATTTGAATCACTTTAAGAGTGTCTAGCTAGCATGCTATAAATCTCACCTTTCAATACAAAGTCAATGTTCGATTTCTTTAATTTTCTAACAGTTTGAGGAAAACAAGAAATCAAAAGATAAGTCTCCAACTCATTAAACACAACTTGATATCATGATTATTAAGCCTACCAAGTTATAAAGAAATCAGTCAAAAAAAGTAGGAGAGATTGCTGGACAACCAAAAATTTATGCTGGACGGACGACGTCAAATTTGACGGGCTTATAAGAATTAATCACAGTAATTTATCCTGACTCAGATAGTTGATTCAAACTCATAGACTCATGCTGTTCTTTTGGGACTCGCCATCTTTTTGAGGACCCACTATATATGTCTCTTTATAATGGAACTCACTAAAATTTTGAAAAAAGTTGTTCGGAACTAACTCGAACAATCTACAAAAATCACTGTAATCTTTATCACATCATTGTGATGAAACTTCATTAGCCCCACTATATAGCTAGTTACCTGAATATTCTTCACACAAGTCCAACTTAAAAACAGTCTTTACAAAATTATCACTAGACTTGCTATAATACACAGAGTGGAATTTTCACTCCTGAAATTGTTTTTGCATTGAAATCATTTAAATTTCTTTTTCATTAACTAGTAAACAATAATTTCAAACATTAAGTAGATTTGACAGACTGACAATTCAAAAGGACATGGCAATGGAAAAAGGAAGAAATTTATTAATTGCTCATGCACACAAAAATCACTGATGTTGTAAACATTGTCATCAATTACTAGACTTAAGCCATGCATGGTTTGGTCAGTTTAGATATATATATAGAAAAGTACAGCTAGTTCCGTCATATGAAATTAACAGTTAGGATAAGTTAACATTAACTGACTAACATGGCTGTTTTCTCAGCAAGTGAAAGAATAAAAATCAACATCTAATTTATAATTATATACATTATATGCATAACCAATTATTGATGTATACTAGACTTGAGCCACTATTCCACAAAAATACCCTTGACTTCAACAAACTGTTTCACTTAAATTAAATTGGTTGTGTTGTCTCCTGTGCTGAACTTTTTTTTATGTCATTCTTAGACAGGGACAAGATGAAACAATCTGACACAGGTTTGGATGAAAAAGTGTAAAAAGCAAATGTACTTTGACGATTCAGTTTAAAACAGATCAAACCAAGTATAGTACCTTCCAGCATTGTCTTGATTGTGACAGATTGCCTGGCAATATCCACATCAATTTCAAATATCTCCCCATCAGAACTCTGTAGCTTGATATTTGGCATCTGGAAAGCAAGTGTAACACATTTCATACATTCATATTTTTATAGTATTAGTAAATGCTTTTGGCAGGCTCCAGGACCACATATAACATGCAGGGCTCATTAACTTTTAAATGCAGTTGCCCTGTGGTGCAAGTAAAATCAAATCTTGCTTCCCCAAATCAACTCTTGAACATGACCTAACCCCAAAATAAATTTAAAATCATAACTCTGCTGTAGCTCTGTTGACATATAATAGATGATCTTACATTAGATGTTTATACCTTGTACCTACTTTTGCATTAAATGCATTAATCGAAATATTTCTGTGTAACTTCTAAATATATATATATAATATATATAAACCATACCTGTTGTTACACATAATTCACGTGAAAAAATATAAATGTCTTAAATACAAAATGGTCTGAAATTGCTAGCTAGCTCGGTAAATTAAGTAAATAATAAAACCTGAAATGATCATAATGATGATGGTTGACCACTTCTTTATTGTAAGCCATTGACCATTAGAATTTGTTTCCCGAAAAAACTTTTCGTTGACAATATGTTCTTAAAAAGGAGTTTGTGTTGTTTTTTTTATTCCATATTCATGACATTGTGTTTGTAACAACATGTTTGTCCCTGTACAAAGAGATTCCCTCAAGCATGCAATTCCCAATCTGCACAATATTTCATATTTAGTAGAACAACGTCTCCTGTGATACAAAAGCTGGTTTATTTAAAAACATGCCTCATGCGTCTGATTTACAATAGACTGCCTTTTTTCGGTCAGAGTGTATTTTCTTTCTACATTTTCTGAATTTCCATGGATGACGGACATACCCAGGACGATAGCAGATCTATTTTCGTGAAGAACAGTGAAGAAAACAGGAATCACAAAATAAGGAGTGATTTATCTATATCGTATTAATCGATTTTAGCGTTTTAATTAGAGATATTTTCAGCAGTAACAAAAAAATCCCCTTCTTAGATGCTTGTCAACAAAATATTCCGCCATTTTGTTGGCATGAGAGCACACGTTCGTCAATATAAAATCATCCGTTTTTGAGACTAAATCGTTTACGGATTTGATTTATATTGAAAGACTTCTTTCTTGGAGAACTCCCTTTCCCTCAAATTCGAAGAAATTCAATCACACTTGAAAACAACTCTTACTTTTTTGGTTTTCTATGTCCTCTTCTTTGATTTATAAGTGTATATTCGTGCAATATTTCCACCTACCGGCGATTCAATAAAACTCTGCTCACAACAAGATAGATAACTCGTGCTATCTCCACCGTCATCGCTAAAAACGTGGCCATATATGGAGGCATATATGCGTAAAATAGCATGGTGATTCGTAACCGAATATAATTAGCGATGTTATAATAATGATGGTGAAAGTCATAATAGATCTTATTAGATGATGACAATCATTATTTCTACTTAATCACTAGTAAAAGGAAAGAAAAAATCACACAAAAATAAAAGTAGTTGGTAAATAATGTCACAGAATGTGATTATTGCTATCTAAGTCCGTGATAGTGTCAAGGGAGAATAACGTTAACTCGTCGGTTTTTCATCATATTTTTTTTTTTCATTTTTTTCTTCTATTTTACACAAGATTAGTTTACGTACACACAAAGACACAAAGATCCTTCTCGAGACTTGCGTCGCCTTGATGTCATGTTTTTACCTGCAGGCTTGCTTGTTCGTCTTAAAGTAACTAAAACATTGCAGTTTCGTTCAAAGCATATTGCTGTTATTTTGCCCATGCTGGGGAATCACCCCTTGTGCCATTGTTCTGCCCTGCTAGCTGTCTTATCTTTACCTGGGAAGGTACTAGATCCCTAAATCACATATTTATCTTATACGGTGTTTAACTGCCTGGGATTAGATCCCAAGGTTTATGGAGGGCACTCTTTTCGTCGGGGAGCTGCGACTTGGGAATGTTGTGGTCCCTGCAGACTCCATTAGACTTCTGGGTCCCCGCAGACTCCATTAGACTTCTGGGCCCCCGCAGAATCCATTAGCCTTCTGGGTCCCCGCAGAATCCATTAGACTTCTCGGTCCCCACAGAATCTCTTTACCTGGGGAGGGACTAGATCCCTAAATCACATATTTATCTTATACAGTGTTTAACTGCCTGGGATTAGATCCCAAGGTTTATGGAGGGCACTCTTTTCGTCGGGGAGCTGCGACTTGGGAATGTTGTGGTACCTGCAGACTCCATTAGACTTCTGGGTCCCCGCAGACTCCATTAGACTTCTTGGTCCCCGCAGAATCCATAAGACTTCTGGGTCCCCGCAGAATCCATTAGACTTCTGGGTTCCTGGACAAGTGGTTGCTTTTTGCGATATGTCGATTCAAATATCAAACAACACTCAGAATCCATTAGACTTCTGGGTCCCCGCAGAATCCCTTAGACTTCTGGGTCCCCGCAGAATCCATTAGATTTCTGGGTCCCCGCAGAATCCATTAGACTTCTGGGTTCCTGGATAAGTGGTTGCTTTTTGCGTTATGTCGATTCAAATATCAAACAACACTTGGATGCATTACAACTTTTCCCCACTACCTTACCACGTTAAACAACACCTTTATCCCACTGGATAAATGTATACATGCTAGGTCTTTCATAGTAATATTTCTTAATAAAACGCTTTCTTAAATCTAAAAAACATTAACATTTTAATATAAAACGAAATTCATCTTCAATATCCCCACTGTTACAGTATGCACATGTTCTTTCAATCCTATCTACTTATACAGTGTTTAACTGCCTGGGATTAGATCCCAAGTTTTATGGAGGGCACTCTTTTCGTCGGGGAGCTGCGACTTGGGAATGTTGTGGTCCCTGCAGCCTCCATTAGACTTCTGGGTCCCCGCAGACTCCATTAGACTTCTGGGGCCCCGCAGAATCCATTAGACTTCTGGGTCCCCGAAGAATCCATTAGACTTCTGGGTCCCCGCAGAATCCCTTAGACTTCTGGGTCCCCGCAGAATCCATTAGATTTCTGGGTCCCCGCAGAATCCATTAGACTTCTGGGTTCCTGGACAAGTGGTTGCTTTATGCGATATGTCGATTCAAATATCAAACAACACTCAGAATCCATTAGACTTCTGGGTCCCCGCAGAATCCCTTAGACTTCTGGGTCCCCGCAGAATCCATTAGATTTCTGGGTCCCCGCAGAATCCATTAGACTTCTGGTCCCCGCAGACTCCATTAGACTTCTGGGTCCCTGCATAATCCATTAGACTTCTGGGTTCCTGCAGAATCCATTAGACTTCTGGGTCCCCGCAGAGTCCATTAGACTTCTGGGTCCCCGCAGAATCCATTAGCCTTCTGGGTCCCCGCAGAATCCATTAGACTTCTGGTCCCCGCAGACTCCATTAGACTTCTGGGTCCCCGCAGAATCCATTAGTCTTCTGGGTCCCCGCAGAATCCATTAGACTTCTCGGTCCCCACAGAATCTCTTTACCTGGGGAGGGACTAGATCCCTAAATCACATATTTATCTTATACGGTGTTTAACTGCCTGGGATTAGATCCCAAGGTTTATGGAGGGCACTCTTTTCGTCGGGGAGCTGCGACTTGGGAATGTTGTCGTCCCTGCAGACTCCATTAGACTTCTGGGTCCCCGCAGACTCCATTAGACTTCTGGGGCCCCGCAGAATCCATTAGACTTCTGGGTCCCTGCAGAATCCATTAGATTTCTGGGTCCCCGCAGAATCCATTAGACTTCTGGGTTCCTGGACAAGTGGTTGCTTTTTGCGATATGTCGATTCAAACATCAAACAACACTTGGATGCATTACAACTTTTCCCCACTACCTTACCACGTTAAACAACACCTTTATCCCACTACCTTACCACGCTAAACGACACCTTTATCCCACTAGCTTACCACGTTAACCCACGGAATTAGATTAGACACCACCTTTATTCCACTACCTTACCACGTTAAACAACACCTTTATCCCACTACCTTACCACGCTAAACGACACCTTTATCCCACTAGCTTACCACGTTAACCCACGGAATTAGATTAGACACCACCTTTATTCCACTACCTTACCACGTTAAACAACACCTTTATCCCACTGGATAAATGTATACATGCTAGGTCTTTCATAGTAATATTTCTTAATAAAACGCTTTCTTAAATCTAAAAAACATTAACATTTTAATATAAAACGAAATTCATCTTCAATATCCCCACTGTTACAGTATGCACATGTTCTTTCAATCCTATCTACTTATACAGTGTTTAACTGCCTGGGATTAGATCCCAAGTTTTATGGAGGGCACTCTTTTCGTCGGGGAGCTGCGCCTTGGGAATGTTGTGGTCCCTGCAGACTCCATTAGACTTCTGGGTCCCCGCAGAATCCATTAGTCTTCTGGGTCCCCGCAGAATCCATTAGACTTCTCGGTCCCCACAGAATCTCTTTACCTGGGGAGGGACTAGATCCCTAAATCACATATTTATCTTATACGGTGTTTAACTGCCTGGGATTAGATCCCAAGGTTTATGGAGGGCCCTCTTTTCGTCGGGGAGCTGCGACTTGGGAATGTTGTGGTACCTGCAGACTCCATTAGACTTCTGGGTCCCCGCAGACTCCATTAGACTTCTGGGTCCCCGCAGACTCCATTAGACTTCTGGGGCCCCGCAGAATCCATTAGACTTCTGGGTCCCCGCAGAGTCCATTAGACTTCTGGGTCCCCGCAGAATCCATTAGATTTCTGGGTCCCCGCAGAATCCATTAGACTTCTGGGTTCCTGGACAAGTGGTTGCTTTTTGCGATATGTCGATTCAAATATCAAACAACACTTGGATGCATTACAACTTTTCCCCACTACCTTACCACGTTAAACAACACCTTTATCCCACTACCTTACCACGTTAAACGACACCTTTATCCCACTAGCTTACCACGTTAAACCACGGAATTAGATTAGACACCACCTTTATTCCACTACCTTACCACGTTAAACAACATCTTTATCCCACTACCTTACCACGTTCAGTTCAGTTTTTTATTACCTTGAACCTTACGACTCATCAGTTCAAAATAAACATATATACAAGGATAAACAATACAATCACTCACACCCATATACACCCCCACAAATACACCCCACACACAAATACACACTCACATACCCATTGGTATAGTGTAGAGAGACATCCCTCTTTATATAGGTACATAGTCTTCCTTTTCTTATTACTCAGTTTAATATATTTGGCTAAATTTGTTAACTGTTTTTTGTTCCCTGTTTCCATAAGTTGGATAAATGTATACATGCTAGGTCTTTCATAGTAATATTTCTTAATAAAACGCTTTCTTAAATCTAAAAAACATTCACATTTTAATATAAAATGAAATTCATCTTCGATATCCCCACTGTTGCAGTATGCACATGTTCTTTCAATCCTATCTACATTGTTATACCTACCAATTTCAATATTTAATTTGTGAGATGACAGTCTAATTTTTGTAATTTCTTTCAGATTTGTATTTCCTATGGGTTTTGTTAAATATGGTTGTAAACAGAAATTTTCGCCAATAAACTTGTACAGTGAACACTTAGAAGATGAATCTATTTTTTCTTTACATTCTTGCGTAAATATATCACACATTCTGCTTTTAATAATATTCATAATATAATCGGATGTATAGGTATCTCCATATTGCCATATGTACCCTACTCCCATTCTAAATAGTTCGTTTCTTACTCCATTCATCCATTCACTACCATTTTCTAACATTTCTTGATAACATGCATGTAAAACACAATTGTCAGTTTGTTTTAATTTTAACCAGTATTTAAAAATTCTAAATTTCCTAATAATTTCCAAAGGCAATCTTCCTAATTCTTGGTAAACCATAAAATTTGCAGTAGATTTCTTAACCCCTAATAATCTTTTACAATAACTTAAATGTATTTTCTCTATATCTGGTGCTTTATGAAAGCCCCAAACTTCCGCTCCATAATTAAAAATACTACAGACATATGTATCGAAAACATGAAGCTGAGTTTCAACGTTAAAATATTTTTTCTTAGACACGTTTGATACTGAAAACAATGCTTTTCTTCCTTGTTCAGCGATTTTTTGTTGAGTTTTTTTGAATTTACCATTAAAATTCATTAATATACCCAGGTAATTAAATTCATCTACAATATCTAAAACACCTCCATCAAAGTACCACTTATCTTTATCTCTTAATTTACCTCCGTTACGGAAAACCATCACCTTGGTTTTACAAGTATTAACCGTAAGATT